CTCCTCCTCCTCCTCCTCCTCCTCCTTCTTCTTCTTCTTCTTCTTCTTCTTCTTTCAGTTAGGATCTTGTTATTTACCCAACTATATCTCAGCTTCCTGAGCACAAAGGTTAACTTCTAAGAATAGGAAGGATGGACGACTTATATAGGATGGAGGAGTTAATGGGGTAATTGGATGTGAGCGGTTAAATTATTTTCTTAAAATGTCTGTCAGGACTGGGAGTAGAGCGCATATTTAGCAGGAGACCCAGGTTCACTCTGCCAAGGAGGGAGAGTAGAGGAGGAGGAGGAGGAGAAGGAGGAGGAGGTGTGGTGGGGGATGGGAGGCAGCAGCAGCTGAGAGAGACTTGGATAAGGAAGGCAGGAAGGCCTAAGGTATTTTGGAGGAAAGAGTCTGTCAGTATGGCAAGATCTGGGGAGTTGGATAAGTTCACTAGAGAATATTCTGGAAGGATGGATTGTTTGGCAGCATTTTTGATAAGTTGCGTGTTCTGGGACAGAAGGAATTCTATGATATGACCTTTAATTAATTCTGAAATAATTCCCACATGGTTCAAATCATACTAGTTGAAACCCAAGTGGTAATTTCCATAGTCTAGGCTTTAACTGTGTCAAGGGTCTGATTGTCCAACCATCAAACATTAGGGATTATAATAAAAACAAGCTCTAGAAGACCGGCTTCTAGAAAAGATTGCTGACTCAGAGTGTGAGTTGGAATCTGTAAACTTGAATTGGATTTAGATTTGCTCATTCAATTCTGAGCTTCCACAAGGTAGGGGAAGAGATCTGATAAAGAGAATTAGGCATGCTTCTTAGATGAGATATTAACAGACTGAACTAGCCTCCAGAAGCTGGATTTAAAAACACTCGAGAGCTTCCATTAATTCTCAGATGTGGATCCAATATAAACTAAAGAAGACAACGGCTGTGGTGGGACTGTCCCCAGGCTTCTGGGAGGGCATCAAGGATGATCGTCACAACAGCCTATTGGTGGGTGGTGATCTTTATAGGACTGAGGTTAGATTAGAGGAAGTATTAAGCAAGCCTTGAATCTTCAAAATCTCAGCGACCTTTAATGTGGGTACTTGGTGAAGCTACTGAGTATTAGAATCGGACTTTGACAGGTAAAGACACACCTACCATACAGGCTTCTGCCAGGAAGGCCTGTCAGATAGGAGCCTAAATATAATTTCCTCAGACTTCCGTCATGAAAGCCTGGAGTCCATATTTGGAAAAGGTTATGAAGGGGGAAGTGATGAACGCAGAATGCTGTGGTTAATTAATGAAGCATGAAATTGGAAAGAGATATTAACTTGTCAAGGAGTAAATGAAGACAAAAGGATAGATGTGTACAAGAATAGCCAGAGTGTCTATCAGGCAAGGGGAGCCGATGGCAGGTGGCACAGATCACAGGTCAAGAAGATCGTTGGCTGCTATTTCTATGACACTGGCGGCACGAAGGTACTGAGGAGTTTTGAGGCATGTCTCTCCCAGTATGTGAGCAAAGGAGACACTAGGGGGAAGGATGTTTGGTCACTGCCATATACAAAGTGTTCAAGGAATTCGAAACAAGGGTAAGGTAACAAGTCCAAGCAGAAAAAGGCACAATGTCAAGCCATGTGTGGTGCTGCATGCCTTTAACCCCAGCACTCGGGGGGGCAGAGGCAGGCAGATCTCTGAGTAAGAGGCCACCCTGGTCTGCACGGTGAGTTCCGAGGCAACCAGGACTACACAGAGAAACCCTGTCTGGAAAACCAAAACAAAACAAAAAAGAAAAAAAGGAAACCACAATGCGGTGTTAGAATGGAAAACCCAGGGAAGGGGTTCGTCAGTGAATCAGGGGTCGACTAGAAAGCGGCTGTCAATTCCGACACTGCTGGTTTGGTTTCTTGCCATTGACTCAAGCTTTGAAACACAGTGTCAGGAACTTCTCTGCAAAATGTATGTTGACTAGTTGTGACGTCATGATTTAGCATACACAACTGAAATTCGTGGGACTCTTGCCTAGGGCGAGAGGGTTCCACTTTCTACATTATTAATTCCTACAGCATTTGAGGTTTTAGAAATTAGATACTTTTACAAGAAGGCAAGGCTGACTCTTAGCATTAGAGAGGCAGGAGCAGGGGGATCATGAGTTTGAAGCCATCCTGAGAAACTCTCTCTCTCTCTCTCTCTCTCTCTCTCTCTCTCTCTCTCTCTCTCTCTCTCACACACACACACACACACACACACACACACACACACACACACGCGCGCGCGCGCGCGCGCGCACGTACAGTAGGGAGGTGGAGAGAGAAAAAGAGGTTCAAACTAGAACTGTATTTGACCTAAGGTTAACTTTATAATTCTGATGTGTCCCAAATTTAATGACAGAGGCCAAAGTGATAAGAAACAGAAATTAATCAGAATTTAATTCAAAACCAATAAAATATCAGTTTATATTGAAACCCTGACTTAAATCTAGTTGCAGTGATGACCAGGACCACAGAATCCTATTTTACATATTAATTGTTGTAACCTCAACCAATCCAGACGTGACCACAACTCTCCTCAAGTCTTGTGTCTGCAGACTTTCTCCTTCGGTGTCAGATTTGGCCGCTCCCCTCCATAGCCAGTGTGGTGCACTTCTTCCCCCATGTGTATCAAGGGACACCCTTAGCTCTTGTCCGACAGGCATCTGCTAACTACTACCCAGGTTGCAGGTGACTATGGGAACTTGTCCCAGAACCTTGTCTCTCATTTAATGGCTAGCACCTGCTATGAATCAGTCAACAGTTTATTGCAAAGATCTGCTGGTCTCTACACTTTGTGATTTTTACAGATGCTATGAATTGGAACCTGTACCTCCAAATGACCTTGAGAAGAGATGTAATCACAGGAAACAAAGGGCAGCACAGTAGTCATGGAAACAACAGGTAATAACAGCCTATTCCCAAGGACCTTACACCTCATATGCAAGGTTATATATATAACCTTATATATATATTTTCCTTAAAGGTTAGATTTAAAACCTACCCTGCCCCTAATAAAATCATTTGAAAGAAGTAATGGCTTCACTGTCGCTCACACAACCACAGACAAGACTGAAGTTTGGATGCTGAGGCAGCTGCTGGGAATGATGTGCACAGGCAAGGACGCTGGATCTTCTGGCCCTCCCCACTTAACATGAGTAACTCGACTGTGATCTCCATTCCTCCAATCTGCCTAGGAAACTTGCCCTGTAAGCATTCATTTAGTCTAGCTCAGTTGCCCTCGATTTAGTTTACCAAGGAATTTCCTTCTGTGCGTAGCCTGTACAGGATCATGTAGCCTATACCTTAGGGTCGATGAAGAGATTTTCAGAGATAATGTCGTTTGTACCTAATTTCTTCGTGTTTGGTCATTTCACAGGCTCTTTGTTCCTTTGTGTGGCAGGAAATTTGGCTCTATTAGGGAGAACTATAATTGAGGATTTCCTGCGCCACCTGAATAAAGAGCTGGAAAACTCTCTGTGGTCCAAATGCCCTCTCAATCCTCCCACACTGGCATATAATAAGCATCACATTGGCATTTATAAAACCCATAGGTGCCACGCTTCCTATTTTTCTGGTGAAAATAGAGTCCTGTTGCTAAGCAGACGGGCAACTTTGGGAGAGAACTCAGAAATTCTGAAATTTAACTCTAGAGGCTCAGGAAGAGAAACCCCCAAAGTGACACTTGGGCATGATGAGATGAAGAAACTGTCTGGGAGTCAAGGTCAGACTCAGGTCTGTAGCTTCCTCTCCTGGGGAGGGCCTGGAATATCCTTATCTGACTGGGAAACCATCTTCCACAAGCAATGAAATTGTCATGAACTCCCTGCCTAGCAGTCTCACCAAAGGAAAGGTTAACTGTGGAGAAAGAGAAGAAACTAAAAGTCACTGGCGAGACACAACCCAGACAGTTAGTCATCTATTGTTCTGATTTAGCACCCCGAGGTTACCTGGGAGTGTTTATCTACATGATAGAATCTCTGTCTACAGTGAAGCTCCATGGCTCATACTGCTGGCAGCTCGTGATGACAGTTTCTAAGCATTGGAAGCTGTTGGTTGTTAGGTAACCATTCTGCCCTGACTCCCTCCTCCACACAAAACGCTGATATACTTGCTTCTCTTTCTCCTGACTTCTGTCTAGTGCCAGGTCGTGCCTTCACTTTGTCCACGTCACGCATTTAGAGGTCGAACGGGAACTCAGAGAGTGAGCACAGATTTTATGGCCCTTTGTGAGATAAGTGGAAGTTGGTAAAGTAAGGATGCTCTGCCATGCTAATTCCTAAATGTTTAGACGAAAGGTGAAAGCCTGCAGCCCTTACTTAGGTGGGGACTGCATCTGTGGAGTTTGGGTTAGAGCTGAGTGAGGCAGGGGCTGGCTTTTCTGCACTAGGCTGAAAGGAGACACACAGGAGGGGACCAGGGACAGCATCTGCTAGACCACTAAACTTCCCCCAAAGCCAGGCTTATGGCTCAGGTCCTCAGTTCTAGCTACTCAGCAGGCTGATGCAAGAAGATTCCAAGTTCAAGATATGCCCAGGCCACAGAGTGAGTTCGAAGCCACCCTAGGCAACTTAGTGAGACTGTTACGAAATAAAAAGTAAAAAGAAAGGAGATAGCTTAGTGTTGGAGTGCTTGCCTCGCACACGTAAACTCCTCGGTTCAATCCTCAGTAGCAGAAAAGAGAAAGTCACACAAGGATAAAGGTCAATTATTTAGGGACTGGAGAGATGGCTCAGTGGTTAAGAGAACTGACTGCTCTTCCAGAGGTCATGAGCTCAATTCCCAGCACCCATATGGCAGCTAACAACTGTCTGTAACTACAAGATCTGACACCCTCACACAGACATGCATACAGGCAGAATAACAATGCACATAAAAAAATAAAAATACAACAAATTATTTTTTTAAAAAAAGGTCAATTATTTAGAAAAAATATCCCTGTTGAAAAATGGCTGAAGTAGACAATATTTTAAGATACATTTTGGACCACTCCAAATGCTTCCATTTCTGTCCTTACTGGAGAAAGTATTTAGCCTTCACACTACTCAGTCCTCTGAGTTCCTGTAATCATGGGAACAAAAACAGCAAGGCAGGAAACAAAATGGCTAAAATTTTCTGGCTTTCGCCTTACAAAACAAACCCTAAGCATTTAGGGGAAGTACATTTGCAGATATTTTCAGGAATCGACGAAATATCATGGGCCAAGAAGAGAAACAAGAGGTTTCCTTGGACTTGGGAGAGAAATGAGATAGAAGTGCAGACAGAGTCCTCAGAATGAAAAAAAAAAAAAAAAAGAAATCTAACTAAGAGCTAAATTGACCTGAATATAAATCCCGAGGCTTACAGGGACTGCCACAGCCTGTAAGTGACTGCATCAGGACGGCCCTATCCCAATCATGGTTCTTGCCGATTACCTGTCAGGCACCATGCAAACACGTTCACACCTACTGTCTCGTGTGTTATCTTCACCACAACACCTCAAGGCCAGTGCTGTCAGCACATTTTAAGTGAGGCATCACGGCTCAAGGGCAGTTGGTAAGCATTGGGACTAGGGATGGATGCAAACCCAGGGCTGTTTTTCTCTGCAGGATATCACACCGGGGAGCAGAGACATGTACCTAAACCCAGAGACAAAGGAGTTGTCTCAGACTTCCTTGGCTTTAAAGAGTTCTGTCTGGTATAGCATTGGGTCATTGCTGCAGGCTGAGGATATGAATAGTGCTGGTCATGAGGGGAAACTTCCTGGACCAAAAAATAAAAACAAAAGGATGTACCTGAGGCGGAACGTGAACGTGATAACAGTCTGTCACCACAAGACTTAGAGAATCCTTCTCAGCAGTTTTCTCATCCCTATACCAGACTTCAGAAGTCTCTCTGTAAGGATGTCAGTATTGAAGGTGTTTCCTATATTCTGTGATAAGTGGAGGTCAACAATAAAGACCTAGGTGTGCAGATAGTTTGACCATACCTAAGTCTGAACCATGCCCCTGCCTATCTACATGGCATTAAACCAAGAAGACATGCTTACTTCCCCTGTTCCCCCCCCCCACACACACGCACAATCAATCAATCCGTTTCAAGATCCCCACTCAAATATGAGTCACAAACAGACACGCTAGCACTTACTTTAAAAAGCAGTCTAAGTTTTCAATGACTTCAGCCCAGATTTGGGCATTTCTGTTCAAGGCTTTAAATACATGGGATGTTTCAGTTCATGGGGTCAGGTTACCTGGTTAGGATCAGGACCAACTTCATCCCAGTTGTGAGTGACGTGGCCTTGGTCAATGGACTCAAAGGGCTTGTGAGAAACTGAAGGGAGAATCCTATACAGCCAGCTAAGGGAAAGAAGAAAAACAGAAAGACACAGTTTTGGGTAATGTTCTGAGGGGACACAGATTGGCTCTGGAGGTGCCGTCAAGAAGACACTCAACCAGCAACCATCTGTGGGTTTTGATGTGAGAAGCAGCGACTCATCATTTCTCAATAGCCATCTCCTGCCCATTACTCTGGTCTTTCACTTCTTCCATGACACGCATCCTCGTCAGGTTGAGGCTCTGGCTCCTACCTATTCACATACTGCCAAAAAATGAAGCATTGCCTTTTCCAACGACTGTAAGGGAAAAGGAAGCACTATGGGGAATATGCACACGGAAATCCACAGAAAAGCAACGTAAGATGTTAATTCTTGCCTTTCAAGTCAGGACAAGGATTCTGGATAGCCTGATATGGGGAGTACCTTCATTATTTCTTAAAATAGAAATCAGCTTAGTCCTTTAAAATTACAAAATAATTTATGACAATGGTGAAATAATTCCATAAATTCAAAAATTCCTGGGGGTAATCAGCGTTTCTCCAACGTTTTCATGGCTATTCCTTAGATATGCAGAGCTTAACACTTGTCTCATATTTTCTTGGATATCTCCAATGCATATGTAAGCAAAATTGGCAAATTGTAGGACTACTGTCTTCACACACTAATGATACAGGCGAGAACTCATTCCCACATCATCCCCAATCTGGGATAGTATTGTAATTGCACTTTTTAGGCATATATTGATTTTTAATTTTTTTTGTGTGTGAATGTGGTATATGTATAAGATATGTGGTCATGTGTGTGTGTGTGCATGGGTACACATACCTGTGTACATTCAGAGGCCAGAGTAAGACATCAGTGTCCTGTTCTATAAGTCCCCTTCTATTTCCTCGAGACAGGGACTCTCATTAAACCTAGAATTAGGCTGGCCCCTGGCAAGTTCTGACAACCCTCCTGTCTCTGTGCTTTCTAGCTTTGGGGCTATAGGTGAGGGCAGACATACTGGCTTTTTATGTGGGTGCTGGGGATTTGAACTTGGGTCAAATGCTTTTACCCAATAAGCTATCTCTCAAGCTCCAATGACTATACTCTTAAAAGTGAAATATAGTATCTTATTTTTAATGTGTCCTTTATTTTGAATAGGTTGAATAAGTTTTGCTTATTTACCAGTCCTTCATCCCTTTTCTAGGAATTGCTTGTAGAGTCCCATATTGATTTCAATTGGGTTGTATTTGGTCTTTCTGGCATTAGTTGAGAGAAGCTTTAGAATTTTCACTTCTCTACTATGTAGTTATAAAAAGCGTGCTCCCAGGCTTTAATGAGCTGTATTTATGGTTTTGTTTGGCTTTCCTTTTCTTTACTAAGTTTTGCTGTCCATTGCGTAGGTCAAGGCCTGAGCCCGACTCTTCTCCAGGATCAGATCTGACTCAAGGAAGGGAAAAAGAGTCTGCTGAGGGAATCTTGAGGATGAGAGGGACACTGCCTCACAGGTCTTCTCAGGGGTTGACTAAGGAGGGAGAAGGACCCTTCTCTGACAGTGGAAGACCCGCTGTGCCCACCAGGCCCCAGGACAGTCCAAACTCAAGAGTGGAGTTTGCCTGTCTAGTCATTGAGCGTTTGGGTGATAAGTGGGCTAAATTTGTTCCACTCCCATCTGATTTCCCCAGCTCTCGATGCGGTGACTTCAGTCAGACCTTGGACTCACTAAACCTTACCAACTCCCAGGAGTCTGTGGGGCTGAGCACATATGTATGTCTTAGCCCTGATGGTATGATTCAACAACTTTCTGGATCCTATCCTCTTCATCTTTAGCTCCTAAGGTTATGGTAAGCACTACAAGTTCACCTAGGCACTCACTGGATGATTATTGAATTGCTTTCTCTTGATCATCTGAGTTTTTACCACAATTTAAACTTTACACATTTGCTTTCCAGAGAGATAGATGGACTCTCTAATAGTTTTGGTGCTCCTAATGCTTTGGTGTTTAAGTGAGTAGTAACTAGCTGAAAATACCAAGCTGACCCATCTATAGACAGGGAGGGACATACTTTCCCGCTGGAGGTTCGAGCATTTTCATACATTACTTGTGCATACCTTTGGAGAGTTCTAAGCAGATGGGTGAGCCATGCCTAGTGTCCCTTATTTTTCAGCTGAGTTTAGAAAACTCCCCAGGCTACACTACATTGCCCTGGACAGAGATTTAATTCTGATGCATGGAATGTTGCCAGCTTCTTAATGAAATGCCAAGAGCTCCTTTTCAGCCTCCTGGAACAGAGCTCAGCTCCTGCCGGCTGAAGATATTGCTGAATAATGGGGACAGGCAGCAGATTCTGGAGACCGGGTGGCCCGAGCGTAGATAGACCATGAAGTCAAGCACACAGTCGTGGAGGCCAGATAGTCATAAATAAGAACAGATATGGTTTGTGGGTTACCTTATCTTGTCTAGAGGAAGAGATAGCCGAATAACAATAGGAACAACTCTGATTACGTGTTCGCTTTTGTTTTGAGTTTTCCACTACTGGAAACCATGTCTTTCTGTTTTTCTTCTTTCCCTTAGCTGGCTCTGCTAGGTTGGTTTGGTTTTTTGAGGCAGGATATGTAGTCCAGGTTGGCCTCAAATTCCTGATTCTCCCACTTCAGCCTTCCAAGTCCTGGAATTACAGGCGCTCACTGCAATGCCCAGCTTAATCCTTGATTTTTGACAAATATACGAGATTCTCTCCCTTTGCCTACATTATCTCTCAGGATCCAATGTACAAATGTAGAGGATCTGAGCGGGCAGACAGCTTGGTCAACACCATTCAACAGTAGAGTAGGAGCAAGGACTTAACCACAGGGGGCCTGCCTGCCTGCCTGCCTGCAGAGAGGACATGATTCATCATGAAGGGAGGTGATATTTACTGTGCATGTGGCTCTTTGTGCTGTTGCGCTCACTGGCCCATCTGCTTCTCGGGAGGACTCAGTGGAGACAAACCCACCTCCTCCTTCCATCTAGGCAGTCTAAGACCACTCCAACTCTCCTTCAAATCTCCAAAGTCAGCAACATCATTCTTTACACATACCTGACCTGAACTCCCTACAGTTAGATACGATGAATCCAAACCACAACACATAGCTGCCTCCTGGGTCTTCAGGTCTGCATCCAACCTGCTCCGTAGACGTTGATTAGAGAGCAGGTTCACTGAGGTGACGTGTAGGATTAGAGTGAGCATAGAACATGCCATACTGTGCTAATGAATGTGCTGGTTTCTGGGAAAGGCAAATTCCGAAGAGGAAAAACCCTATTAATTCAAACCACATGGGGCCATAAGACATGACCTTTCAAGCACTCCAGCTTGGATTATCGGTTTTCGCGCAAAGAACATAATGCTTCTAATCAGCCGAGAAAGATGTCTGAATCTTCTCTGACTGCAGTTTGAAACTATATAAATCCTTAGAGGAAAGTCAGAGTGTGAGAAACATTTCCTGTGGAGTTCTAGTGAGACTTTGTAATGGGACTGGACTTGGGTGCTTTTTTTTTTTTTTGCCTCTGTACAGCTGTTCTCTAGCTTTCTTCTGCCAATCACTCTCTGGGAACAAGCCTGGATGTCCCCCCCCCAGAACGCAGCACACAAGGAGGACCCTGGGGGAGACTGTGGCTGGGATATAGGTCCTCCAGGCTGTAAGTCAGACTTGATCTCGGCATGTACCTTCTCTTATTGGTGCTCCGTGAACAAGTGAAGGCTGATCCCGAGAGCTGCTCCGCGTAGAGGTTGTAGGGGCAGACCTGAGGATTATTCTAAAACAAAGGAGGCAGCGCTCAGCATCTTTCCACTACCTGAAGCATCCTACTTTCCCACCGACCAGCACAGTGGGGAGAGATCCTAGCCTGAAGGGGAAGGCTCTGGGCCACTGCACATTACTACTGTCACCCACCCATGGACACTTGGAACACCTTGGTGACTTCCTCCAATTAGAAGAGTGATACAGGCTTACTGTGGAAAATTCATAGCGTATATGATGACCTCACCAACCAAAGCTGCCCAATATTAATATTCATATATTTCTTTCTGTTCTTGCCTCCAAGTGAGGATCCTATGTGACATATAAACCTATAATAATCAGGAGTTTTTCTTTTGAAATGGACACACCATGTCACAAGCTTTTCTTTTATTTTGTTTTGAGACAAGTCTTGATATGTAGCCCAGCCTGCTTGCAAACTCAAGATCCCTTGCTTTTGCCTCTTGAGTGCTGGGATTACGGGGCTATGCCACTATGCCCAGTCTATAAGTACTTTACATACCATGAAATTGCCACCAAAAGGTTTTGAAAATAAACCTGTTTCCAGTAGCTTTGCTATTATAACCAGCATTGGTGAGGACATCAAGTAACTTATTTTCTCATCATGGTCATATCTGATGTACTTCAAAGGGGGCTCCCAGGAAGTTCCTCCACCCTTGGACTTTGGGGCATATCCTGGAAGTTCTGTAGTTAATTTCATTAATTTGGGTTGGTTCCTTTGCTGTAGCTAATCACCAATTTAAATCCAGTTTTAATATCCTTGTTACTATTATGCTTCAATGCCATTTTCCTAGTGATCTTGGAAATAGACAGTTTGTCTGCCAAACTAGAAGAGCTGTGCTGGGTAGAGCTATCGGGCCAACAGCCTTGTCTTCTAGGTCTACAGTTCGGAGCTCTCCAAGCATTCCCTTCCACGTTTACCTGTCCTTCGGGCAGGGAACCCGGGCAGCGAGGGTCCTCTGAAGCACACTCGTTCCCAAATCCAGAAATGTACTGCAAGTGACAAAGACACAAATTTCATTGTTACTGGGATGGATGTTTGTGCTTTTATATGGGTGTGGGGGAATATATGTGTGGATGTGGAAGACCACAGTTGATATTGAGTGTCTTCCTCAATTGCTCTCTACCTTATTGACGGAGGTACAGTCTCTCTCTGAACTGGAGGCTCACTGCTAGCCTGGCTAGCCAGTTTGCTACAGGACCTGCTGGCCCCAACTCTTCTAAGCTGGTGCATTCTGAGGATCCGTACTCTGGTCCTCACACTTGAGCCGTAAGTGATCTACCTGCTGAGCCACATTCCCAGCCCCTAATAGGATTTAAAGAGCATTTTACAACATTGCCATTCTACAAAGGCAAGGATAACTACAAGGCCATGCATTGTAATATCTGCTCTGTCTTGGCTGCTGAGCCATTTAGGAAATACAGTATGTGTTTGTGCATTTTAAATATTTGCAGTTAACCAGAGAGGAATACTGGATATTGCACGGGCTTTTCTGCCCTTAACCATTCTTGCCTGATTTTATAAGCTTGCTTTTAATGATCCCATTTCAAGAACATGCTCTTTAATTTTAGTTCTGCCTGGAGATTCCTGGGAGGGAGATGGCTCAGGCACTATTTCAACTCCAAACCAGCAGGAACTTACTGGCTCTCCATTGCAACTCCTCTCCCCCTGTGCACCCTAAAACAAACAGACAAGAAACCAAAATCCCGAACTGGGAAGAGGTATGTGGTTTTAAAGAGACGGGAAGACGTTTGTTAGAAAACACCTTCCACGGGAGCCAATGTTACCTGGGTCATTGTGTGTGTGTGTGTGTGTGTGTGTGTGTGTGTGTGTGTGTGTGTATGATAGGTATTTGCATCTGTGTGGATACAAGAAAAGAAGGCTTAAAGACAGAATGGTTTTTTAGGAGATGTTCCAGCCAAGAATCTTTTCAAAATAATGGAATGGCGCCTACTATGATTACCATCTCTTACGTTCACAACACAGAGGGAAAAATGAAGTTTCTCAAAAAGATAACTTACAGGGGCCTCCTGAAATTTATACCCCCCTCAATGGTAAAGACTGCTTTGTTGATGGTAGCTGGTAAAGTCAATAAATACTGATCCTCAAAGAATATCTCAGTTATCCACAGACAGCTGAGCTAGAACCAAGGAACTGCTGGTTTGACAAGCAGTCTTGTTTCTTGGAAAATGAGGGCACAGCTGACGTCGTCATACGCTGGTCCACACACTGTGAGAGCTGTGGTGGATCTATACAGGAAGCCTCCGCTACCCCGAACTTCAGCTCCATTGGAATTTCATTAGCCCCCTGAACACAGCTCAATTCCCCTCTCTTGAAATCTATTTACAAAATGGTTGCATGAAATCATGCTTATGATCTCTTGGTCCATTTGAGGAAGAACAGCAGATTCCAGAACAGCTTGGCTCAGTTACTGCTCATCCATTGTGAGCCAAGACTCCCTCTTGCAACATCTAGCGCACCTGGCTTTTGTGTATAGGTCTGTCACTGTCTGGCTTCTTCGCCGTTCCATGTTTCCTGAAGGTCGGGACTATGCTAGTTTTATTTACCTCTCTGCACCTTGTGTCTTGGCCCATGGAAGCTATTCAGTAAGCCCTCAGAGCCAGTCCTCAGAGTGCACGATTGCTGTGGTGAGTGGGATTTGAACTCCCTTTCCTCTAACTCAAACACAAGTTGATTTTAGCCTAGGGTAAGGAAGAGTGCAGCCTTACTGGGTGAGTGAAATGCCGCCATCTGAGCACAGTTCTTTAAGAGATATAAGAAGGATGGATGTGGGTGGAGGGTAGGCCCTACAAAGTTCTTGGCAGCTCTGGGAAGAATGAGTTAGATGTAACACGCCTGGATGTGTGAGCGATGATCAGGCCAGCAGTGTCTATATTTGGAAGGAATATGAAATGTGAAATGTTATGACCTAGAAAGCAAAGGCAGTGAAATTATTCATTTGCCTTCAGACACAGGGTTTTTTTTGGGGGGGTGGGGTGGGGGGAGAAGGTGTTTCTGGGGATTGAACCTGAGGCCTCATGCATAGGCATTTTACCACTGAGCTATACCTCTCACCCCCCACAGTTTTTAAAAATCTCTTTGAAAATTTATCAGAATCTCCCCTCCACTGCCACCCCCACCCAACTTCTATTCTAATGAGATTTGTTCCAAGCTGCATGCAGTTTGGAATGATAGCTTTGGGGAAATGGCAGAGCCTATCCACTATCCGGAACCTCCATGGAGCAACAATTTTCTTCTCTCAAAATGAACCTCCTGCTCACCACCGACAGGACTGAATTTGAGCTGCTGAGAATCAGTAATGACCTCCAATTATCTTCCATTCTGTGAAACAGAATTGTAGATCAGCCTGTGACAGAAGCCACTGAGGATGACAGCGGCCTCTCTTTGTTGGGCTGTGGCCTTGTTCCTGTGTGCGGGGAGGAGGGGAGGTCTGAGAACTGCCCTGTCCAGCTGAGCTTTCTGGCAGGCAGGGGTGGATTCACTGATTAACCTTCCCTGGTCTTTGCTACCGCTGGCCTCCGGACAAAGGTTCTAAGTGTATTCCGAACAGGGGGGGGGGGGGAGTTAGTGATTCTGAAGCATTTGATGAAGGCTGTGCTCTAAGGTAGAAGGGAAAGAACAATTGTTGGTTTAGGAGGCAGCCACCCAGAGCTCTGAGAGAAAGAGGGAAGGAGGCAGGAAGGGAGGGAGGGAGGCAGAGTAGGGGGAGGGAGGTAGCAATTTTATATCTTTTTTTTTTCCCACCTCATGGAAGTGGCTTAAGAGGCGGCCGGAAGATGCTGAGTCACCGTTAGCTCATTGGTCTTCCTAACCTTCCAGGAGCAAAATTATAGAGGCGTTTGTTAGATTTTTTTTTTTTTTGCCACCGAGAGCTTCGCAGGGGAGGGAGGAGGGAGCTGAGCTGTGTTTCGCAGCTGCTGTCTCAAGGCTTTGAGTCCAAGGACAGACTCTGGCCTGGGCTTTTATCAGCTGTGAAAAGCCAGGCACTCCAGCTCCAGCTGCCTCTGGGATTATATAAAGATGCTCCTTCTGCAAAACGTGAAATAAAAACCTGACATTAGGCGAGTGTGTTTATGTTTCTCTCAGCTCAGATTTCGGGAATAATTTGGTGCTCTATAAAAATACGATTTTCTTTCTCTCCAAGAGAAATCCATGCATACTTGTTAAATGAAAGAATACATTTCTGGGGCCCGCGTGATTTGGGTAGAGTCGCTTCTTTGGCAGCTCACTGGCATCCAGTTTTTCAATTCTTGCCTGGCCCCCAGGATGTGATTTACTTGTTAGTCATTTGAAGGGGTCCTTTTGAGTCAGGTTCTGGGTAACACCTGATGTGGGGAGCAGATGGTACACCTTGTCTCCTTGTACTGGGTGCTATAGAAGTAGGGACATGTGTGGGGAGACAGAGGCCCAGGGCTCTTCTATTAATTAATTTTTTCCCTATGGAAGGATCCAGTTCATCTAGGATGTTAAGCAAACACGCAGGTTGCTGCTGCAGGCTGAACAATGGTCTGGAATGATCATTGTGTCTTACTTCTTATTGCCTGAGACTAAGAGGCAGGCTTTTAAATAGACAGCTTAGGACTTTGAAATCCCAACCCTTTGGGAAACAGCCCTCCAAGTGCTTGTTGTGGCTTAGTTAACCATGAACCAGAAGCCTCGGGTGGTGGCGCAGCCTATGATCTCTCCTGTAAAGCAGATGAAGAAGATCGGGAGTTCAAGGTCATCCCTTTCTGCCTCGTGAGTTCAAAGCCATCCTGGGCTACCCAAGACCCTGACCGGAAGAAATGAAAGACAAAAATGAAACAAAACAGACCAATGCACCAGAGAAGCAATTTGGGGTTCATAACTGTTGGGTAGAGGAACCACTGCAGAGCTTAAACTGGCTATAAAGCTAAGAGAGAAATTAATGACAGCCAAAACAAGTTGTTATTCCTTCCCGTCCCAAAGCAAGCAAAGGCTAAACGGTAAACTCATGGCCAGAGATGGAGTTAGCCACCTCTAGTCTCAAATACCTTCAAAGGCATTTGAAAAATACAGTTGAAAGAACTGCCTTTGACAGCTAAGTTAAAAAAACAAACGTGTCCTAACAGAGATCAGTTCTGACTTCCTGAATTGGCCTGAGGAAGGAGAGCAGAGGTTTTCTACCTCTCAAGTCACGGGAGCAAATTGCAATTTTCACGCTCATCCTCATAAAAACCTGAGGAGAGGCAGTCGGTTGTTCACACTGGTCTCTGTCACCTTATTACTCGCTGTCTCCTCTGGTCTCCATCCTTTATCTGGGAAGGAGTCTAAGGAAGGTCTCCCTAACCTCTGGCTGCCTCACCCACGGCCTGAGGTAATTTCCCGGCTGCCCCAAGGTAACTTAGAACGAACTTGGAAACGTGAGCAGATACTCATCTGCGGATGTGATTAAGCAATCAGCTTTGGGGATAGGGAGATTCCCGATTATTTGAGGCACTCTAAGTGAAATTACATGTGTTCTGTTAGGACCGAGGTAAAAGGTAATTTGGCTGAAAAAGAGGAAGCAGAGATCTGAGTAATACACTTTGAAGGTAAGGGAGGGGCCGTGAGCCAAGGAATGAGGCCTCTCTAGAAACTGAAGCCCGAGAAATATTCTTCTCTAGGGCCTCCAGACGAGCTCAGCCATGCTGACCCTTTGATGTTGGCCCAGTGGGACTGATTTCAGATATCCTCTCTCCAGAAGTGCAGGAGAATGCATGTGTTGTCTTAAGCTAGTAAATCTACGGTAATTTGGTGTAGCTCAATAGGAAACCATAGGCCAGTGGATCCCCCTTCTCACTAACCCTAAGAATCATTTCAGACCCAAAGCCAGCGGTCTAGGGTCCGCCGGTGGGGCCCAAAGTCTGCGTGTGAAACCAGCTGTGCATCTGTGAAATGGTATCTCGAAAGTGACATTGTCAAGCATGTGGTGGCTCCACCTTAAACCTCCTGTCATCACTTTAGCGTTTGAATTGTCTTCCTCTAGCCCTGCTTTTATGTCAATGTGACTTCATTCCAGGTTTGGTGTTGACACAGCCATTGAAATGGTGGAGGAAACACGAGGAACATTTTAAAGTAGGTTTTATAATGTTTATTGATTGGGATGGGTGCGCTTCTGTCTGGCTCTCTGTGGTAAGATTCCTGACCTCTGGAGATGCCCTTTCCTTCTGGAGATTAGACAGCAGGCAGGGCAAGCCTTTGAAACTGAGAACAAAGGCCAGGGTGCCATTTACATGCATAATAAGTTGCTTAAACATTGCGGCAGGACAGGATTTTGGATATGATTTATTTATAAATGGTAAGGATGCCTTGATGAGCTTCCTCATAGGATTTCTACCAGAAAACAAAGCTCTTAGGAATGCCCCTTCCTCCACATCTTCAACTGAACCACTGGCTAATGGACTCCATTATCTGTGCCCACGCCCCTTCGGTTCAGATCTGCACATGGGTCCCCTCCTGGGCACCCCTATTCACACAGCAGCTCCACTTCAGCTGAAACCCTCGGTTCCCGGGATGCACAGATCATCCTGCATATTTTGCACCTTCACACATGGTATTTCCTCTGGCCTAGTGCCCTGTCGCTTCACCTAGGAACAGCTTCCTTCCAGAAGCTTCTCCAAAACTCCTATCATGCATCAACGGCTATGTCATGAACTAGCACCGAATGAGAGCTAACACTAAATCTGGGGTGACGATAAAGAAGAAAAACTTTTGCTGTGGTGCTAAGGGCCTTCAAGGTGCCAATTAATTAGAGAGCTGCTAGATTTACCATCCCAACTTTGATTGAAAAGCATCCTGGCAACATTCAATCCCTAATTTCAGGAAGAGGCCCAGGAAGTCTGTGCCACTCAGCTTGAGGTCATGTGCCAGGATGTCCTAGTTTCTGGTTGCATGCAGTGAGCTTTAGACACTGGGAACACACTCTTCTCCCTGGCCCAAAGGCACCAGTCTAGCAGGTGCCCCCAACCCTCTCTTGGGGGGCCGAAATTTGAACTCCAGGAAACCCAAGTTCTACTGTGGTCTCCATCATTTACCAGCAGGGACTTTGGATAGTGCCTTAGTCTCTACGAACCTTGTTTTCCTTATTGGTTTAAAATAGAAAAAAGGGCACCTACACCCCAGGGTTACTGTGAAGGGTGCTAACTCATACAGCACCTGTAGCATGTGGCCCACTCATTCTTCTCAACGGCACCTTAAATAAAGAAGTACAGTCCACAGCCGAGTCTGAGCTACAGAACGATTAAGCTGATTAAGCACATTGAACTGGCTGGCCTTGAAGCAGTCCGGGAAAGTTGCAGCCACAAGGGTGACAGAGAGCAGGAGACACAGAGAGAAATGCACAGTGTCCATTTAGAATGGGAGCTCTCAACACGCCCACTGATCCACAAGACCGCATCAGAAATTAGCAAAGGCAAATACAATTGCCTTCTTCAGTCCCTTCTCCCGTGTGTCCTCAGCTCAATCAGCGTCATCGCCCAGCAACACTGCGATGCAGCATCTGAACACAGGGCCTAAGGTCAGGCCCCTTCAAGTGTGTGTGTGTGTGTGTGTGTGTGTGTGTGTGTGTGTGTGTGTGTGTGTGTGTGT